TTTAACTTACTATTGCACCAATTAACACCTTTGATTAATTTACAATGTGTCCTTTAACTCTCAAAAAATCTATGCCAAGGGATCTTAGCTACTTAAACTTTGTAACAAAATCATGTTTCAATTTTGTGAGGCATCCATTAGATTGCTTGCAGTCCAAGATTTGGACTCGATTGGTCCAGTCTGAACTTCTGGGTCCATCATAGGTTTCATTTTGATTATCTAAATCATTTATCTTTTAGGCCTATATTGGTAGATTATCTATGAAAAAATTGAATTAATCCAATAATGATAACTATATTCATTACAAGAATTTACACTTTTGGTGATCAAATTTGGCGACTAAAAGTATTTTAGTCACCAAAAGTATCACTTGTAGCGACTAAAAAATTTATTAGTCGGCATTGGTTTAGGATATGGGTACTAAAATTTTTTAGTTGAGAAATATTTATTATTGGCAACTAAATTATAGCGATTCCGGTTTGACCTGACCTTTGTTATATTCCGGACTCGGGTTCTATGGTTGAATATTGTATCCATGTCTGGTTTTCCTCCTTTAACTCTTTAAATTTGAGCTTTGGAATATGTTTGGCGTGTTTGGAACATGTTGGTTGTTAGTTGGACCAGATTGTTGTTGTCCAGATTTTGGCTTCTTCGCTCGAGCAAGCTTTGTGAAATTTGCTTCTTCGCTTGAGCGAGGTTTCTTGCGCTCGAGCAAGATTTGAGAGTTCTCAGGTTTCTTTCCCAAACAAAGAATTTCTGGGAAGGTGGAGTTTTTCACTCGAGCGAGGCTTCTTGCGCTTAAGCGACGGTGTGCGTCTATAAAATACCTAAAGGTATGTATTCTACGCTCGAACGAGGTCACTTGTTGTGTCTGGTCGCTCGAACGACAACTCCTTCGCTCAAGCGAGAATCGCATATATTAGTTCACAACAAAGCAATTTTATATCACTTTTTGATTTCCTTTTTGCTAAAAACCCTAATCCGGTACTCTCTCTCTCTACAAATAATCCTTGATCTAAGCATCTCTCTACCGTACTTCCTTTGATAAAGAGTTAGAGCACCTTGTGGGCTTCTTCTTGATCCGAGCAAATTCAAGTTTGGACACTTTTGAGGTTCTTCTTTTTCTCCTTTGGGCTTCTACACTTGAGGTAGGGATATTCTACACCTTAATATGGTTTTTAATCTAGGTATTTGTCATTTTACATAAATGGTGGATTTTGGGAGGATTTGGGTGAAGTTAGATTTTGGGTTCAAAATTTGAAAGAGGGGTTTTCTATATTGGATTCCATAAATATATATGGGGTATTGAATATGAGGTTACTTGGGTTAAAATAGTGAAATTTGGCCTTGGGGTTGATATTTGGAAAAGGGGGAAGTTTGCCCTAAATTGTGTTAAATAATTATTTTGTATAAATAATGAAAGTGGTATGAGAAATGTGAAATTGGGAAGACATATGAATGAATGGTGTAGTTGGATTGGTTAAATCACTCACCTATGGGAATTTGATAAATTATCTATTATATAGATGGCATATCTCTTTCGAAATGTTTTTTTTTTTTTTTGGGCTATCGGTGGAGGATAGCTATGATTGTTGTGGAAACTGCATGAGGATTAGGTGAATTGGAACTAATCATTTAAAATATGTCATTGAATATGACGGAATGAATGAGACATTGAATATGTGTTGTAGATAGTCATTGTACATGACGATGCTTTTAAATACATTGTATATATATATATCATTGTTTGGGAGAAGATAGGGGATGTACTCCATTATGTGGGAGGAGATATGGGATGGACTCCATTTAAAATTAAGTTGGCCGGAGTGTCCAGGGTGAAAATCCCGAAATCTTATATACATATATATATATATATATTTGGGTGCTGATTCCCTCGGACGAGAATCTGTAAAATGGCAAAATTGAACTGTTAAGAAATAGTTGTATTGAATTGTGAGTCACTAAGTTGTAGTCTCATTTTGGTTGATTAGATAATAATGAATTTGATTAATAAATTAACATGAAATGGATTGATGGAAATGGATTGAGATGTGGATGTCAATGTTGAATGGTCATGGAAAGGATGTAAGTTGGTTTTTTTTTTTTTTTTTTTTTGAATATTGAACATTTATCTGACGCTTATATCTTAGTTAAACCTCATATATTGTGTTAGTATATCTCTACTGGGCTTTAGCTCACCCTACTTGCAAAACCATTTTCAGGTACAGGTGACATGCCTCCTTCAAGGGCGTAGCTTGGGAGGACTTACGAGTTGGAGGCTTTGTTTTGTTATTTTTGTGTTTAAATGTTAATTCAAGCCAAGGGCTTTACATGTATAGAGTGTAGGACTCTTTTGTTGTAACCAAGTGATATCTTGGAAAGATATAAGCCCGTAGGGCACTTATTTTGTTATCCTTAATTTGAATTACATGTTGTAGATTCAGAATGAATGTTTATGAATGTATAATGCATGTAATTCCCTTTTGTAATAGAAACTCTGATGAATGAAGTAGATCATGTTATTATGTTCATAGATCTTATGAAATGGATTGTTGTACTATATTTTAGGAGCGTTACAATAATCATCTTTTAGAAGTATATGAGTCGGCTCAATCACATATAGTGGATCTCTCAAATAATCTCGAAGCATAGAAATATGAAATACATTGTGCATATGTTCCATGACTGGTGGTGAAGCTACCCGATACGTCATTGAATTAATCTTCTCAAGAATTTCATAGGGTCCAACATATCTTGGTGCCAATTTGTCTTTCACGCCAAACCGTGTCTGGCCTTTCATTGGAGTCACTTTGATAAATACGTGATCCCCGACTTCATATTCCCTGTCTCTTTTTCGAACATCGGCATAGCTCTTCTGGCAGCTTTGTACAGTTTTTAGTCTTTGCCGAATCAATTTCACAATTTCAGTTGTTTCTTGTACCAATTCCGGTCCCAATAAAGGTCTGTCACCTACATCGGCCCAACAGATCGGAGAACGGCATTTCCTACTGTTAGCATATTATATTAGCCGAAAGTTTCACTAAGGTCTGTCTGTAATCATTTTGTGCCCTCAGGAATTATCTTGTAATTGACTTTCTTGTAAACCCTAATCTTCATTTATAAATAGGGGGTGATATTCTATCATACCCCAAGCTGGTTACTCAAGCTTCACTAATCACATCAATGTAATATTTTGTTACCCCTTTCTTCTCTAACACCCACCAAATTATATCCCGAGACACTCTATCATATGCTTTCTCAAGATCAATAAAAACCATATAAATGTCTCTTTTCTTTTATCTATACTTTTCTATCACTCTCCTCAAAAGATAGATCACTTCCATTATTGACCTACTAGGTATAAACCCAAATTGATTCACTGACACCTCTATTATATCTCGCAATCGACGTTCCATTACTCTCTCCCACACTTTCATTATATGACACATTAGCTTGATTCCTCTATAATTGTTGCAGTTCTATCATAAGAAAATCTCCCAATCCATTTCCACCAAAGAGCTTGATTGCCTTAGACATAGGATGTTGGTTGTCTCACCTTACTTTGTACTCTCCCTTCCTCTTTTTTAATGAAATCTTATGGGGAATTACAGAACTTTGCTCCTTGCCAATATGGTGGGAGTCAGTTTCAAAAGAGCATCCTAGTTGATGTTTTGTCTTTAGTTTCCAAAGCACCAAAAAAACAAATCTTCATCATTTAAGAAGAAAAAAAGAAAGAAAGAAAGGAAAACTAGAGATTGCTGTGGTAAAATCTTCAAGCCACCTAAGACAAGAACAAAACTATTACCAACAGTAGTCATAGAGATCTTAGACAGTACTTCAGTTATTTATTCAATTCTTTCCCTTTCATTTTACTCATCTTATTTTAATCAGTGTAATCAATGTTTGCTAATAATAGGCATTGTTCCAATACAAGAAATGAAGCTCCAAGTGTCAGCTCACTTGGCTCATTTAGGCTTCTAAAATTTCTGGAATTTTGTGTATGAAACTTGCAATCTTGGTCTAAGTTCACTATTAACTAAAAAGTTTTGGGTGTATACATTTCTATTTGTTCTTTTGTTGTGTCCATTTTCTGGGAAAATAGAGCATGTTGGCATCATCATGAAGGCTCAATCTATCATATGTTTAGCCTAGATATTTTTTATAAATTTGAAGCATTTAATTTTGTAAGTATAATTTTTGTTTTTTGTTTTTGTGACAAGTAACTTTGCAAGTATTACTTGACTACATTTCTACGGCCTCATTATTAAGCACATGCCAAAGCAGGAGCCCCAAAATAACATATGACTCGAAAAGATGGTTGATCACATAGACTTTACAGGAAATAGCATAAGTTAGCATTTATATATTTCTTTGCAATTAATACCGGGGGTGTTGTACTCAATTCTGGTAATGTTACCTATATCAATCATGGGCCCAGGGTGGAGAGAATAGTTCAAAAGAATCTGTGCCACCAACCCCAGTAAATCAAGACAAGGCATTAACAAAGTAAGTTTCCTAATTTTTGTTCATTTGTTAATTCATAGATGAAGAAAAGTTCTAGCAATCTATGGCTAGAGTACAAGAGATAATACCAAAATAGGAAGGTAATAACTTCCAGAAATTTAGAGAACAGGATAAAGAATTAAGGTTCATAATGGTGACCAAACTTCAGCATGCTTTGTGGAGCAGAATGTCCAGCAACAGGAACTGAAAGTTTAAAACTATTAATTTCCAAAGAAAGAATACAAATTGGAGATCCTCAAAGCCTTCTCATGCAAGACATGTTAATATTTCCCTCTCTTTAAGTTTAGGCCAATGGGGCCTCCATTGTACACAACAAAATAAATGATTAAAAGAATTAAAGAAAATAGCTGACACAATAATTTAACATCTTACTTGAAGAAGAAAAAAAATTTGTTTTTCAAAAATGACAAATTAGAAACATAGAGTAGAGACCATTATAAAGTACGCAGGAACAACACGACTCCACTACTCAAAGAAGTTTGTCAGGAAATTCAATTATAAAGCAAAAAATAACTGCAGATTTAAATAACAAGTAAATCATAGGGAGCTATAATTATGTGCAGAAGTATCACAAATGCACAATTCTCAACATTACTGGAATGATATCAAAACAATTTCGGCATCCAACTCTAGCATTTTTTCTTCTTATGGCTCTTTTCGGGCAAATTATCACTTTTCTTAAGGCAAATTGAACAAGCTCAAAGCAAGTAAATTTCTTCTTGCCTGTAGTTTGGTCTCTTGCAAACACAACACATCAAAATCTTCTCTTTGAGCAAGTTGCAGAGCAGAGAAGTCCTTCAGCTTCAGTAAAGCTCTCAACCCATTGACATTCCATGACAATAACTTCATAAATTTTGTATCACCAGTAAGAGGAGGAGTCCTCATAGTCTTGGGATTGTATGCAACCCACCCTTTTTGTGGCTTCTTGTGGGCAAGAATAGTCCAAGGTTCATTTTGGTTTACAGAAAGATTAGCCTCACCAGAAGCTTCCACAAGCCTAGAAGCAATTTCTGCTGGTGCTTTCCTCTTTAACTGTGTGGGTTTCTTACCTAGAAAACATTAGCCATTGTAAAATACCACCAACCTAGTTAAAATCATCCATATTAATGTGTATGAGCATAACAATTTTACAACATTTTGCCAAAAAATAAATTAAAAATGAAGCACCTGAAACTTCATCAGTTTTGATAGACAGCTTCTGCTTTGTTGTGACTACTGTAGTTTTGACTTCTTCAATGCTGTCATCCACTTGGACCTGTTTTACTCTTCTTTTAGTGCATTGAAGTTCAGAAACCTCCAAAACACTGTTCACCTCCACAACATGCTCTTCGCCAGACAAACTCTTAGCCTTCCTTTTTGATGAATTTTTTTCAGTACAAATTGGTTTTGTTTCAGAGGATTGCCAATCTTCTACCACCAGAGAATCCTCACCTGCACATAGAGGAAAACTTAAACCAGTGCAATGAACATTAACTTTAATACTTCATCTCATAGCGAAGAAGACAAGCAGCGAGAATTTAATTTAAAGCTCAGATTCTCTGCAATCAAAACAAACCTGATAATACTGAAATGAATACAGATTAAGTTTGAAATTAGAAGCGTGTACCGTCTACTTTGTTATTTAGGAATCCCTTCAAAGCAGACACAAGATCACGTTTAGAACCTTTTGAGGGGACCCCAACACTCCTGCAAATTATAACACCTACTCATCAGATATACTGCAAGAGTATACATATTGAGCAGCACAATGCATTAACTTTATTTTTTCCTAAACTTGAGGACAGTCCTGAAACCGAACATTTGCAGAAGGAAGTTAGGGATTCAAGAATAAAAAGGGTGACTGATTCACATATTAACAAACCCAGTACAACAAAACTAAATGATCCATCCCATCAAAAAAAAAAAAAAAGACCTAAATGATCCATAAACTCAACTACTTAATGTCGGCTGCAGAAGTCATATTTAATTATTTATCTCCATCTCAGACCACACCACATGGTTGCTATATCAGATCACTCAAAGCAGATAGATATGTGGTAGAACTAATTCAAAATGTGGTTCTCTAAAATGAGATAATTGTATACACCGCAGATGCCCATAAATACATTGCTCTTATGTAAATTATAAATCTTCCTCACATGAATCTTTCTCCAATCCATTCTTCTCATTGCAATCTATTCCAGCAGGAAATCACAAAACATCACTAATGTCAAAAGGCGCAGCAAAAAAGAAACAAGACACAAGTTTGAATGAAGACCACAAGAAAGCAAAAGGAATCTCCGCTGAACTAAGGCTCATACAACCATCTGGGTTAGTAAAGGTTAGTGTTCCCATTCCTTTTGTGATAAAAAAAACTTAAATTTACTTCTTTTGCAACCTTTTTCTCATCAACCAAACATCAGGTAAACATTAAGGGGTTGTTTGGGATGTCTTAAATAATTACACTTTTGACATTTTATGAAATATGGGTTGGGTTTGAAGTGATGTAGTAGAGAGGTGATATGACTTAAATAAGATGATATGACTTAAATAAGATAGTAACTTTTTAATTTTTTGACTTTTTTTGACGATGCCAAACCAAGCCTAAGTCACATACTCATGCTAACAAAAATATCCGAAGTCTCGGTATTACTATTACCTTAATTTTGATCTAAGTTCTTGAACTGTCATTCTTTCAATTGTATCCGGATCATCCTCGGTAACTTCAGTTTCAACTTTTCTAGCTTTTGCCACACATTCCTATAAATATTCAAATCAAAAACTTATCCACATTACCTAGAACACCAAAAAAATCAGATACAACAACAACATTGCAAGAATATTGTTAAGTAAAAAAATAAAATAACATTAACCTTGACAACAGGTGTCCTAATTCTTGGCTTGGTATCCATTAATTCACTTAGTTTCTCTGATGATGATGAATAATAAAGGAGTCGCTTAGACCCAATTGATCTAGCCGCGACAAAAACAGAGGCACGAAGTTTCAAATTCCTCTGAATCACTGCAAAACTAAATATTCACGTCAATTAAACAGGTTAAGTTATTTACTCCAAATTTCAAGCAGCAAAAGTATGTATCCATTTCGATTTTAGCCCCTTTCTATACTTTGTTTGGTTGCTGAGAAAACGCAGTGGAAAAGGAAAGTTATGAAGGGAGGTCTTGGTATTTCCACTCTGTTTTATTGGCAACCAAACAGAATAAAGTAAAAAGAGAAAGAACGCAGCTCCAGAGTTTTTTCAATATTATTATATCTATATCAGTATAGTATATATACATATATAGTATCCCCTAAGATTAGCGACATTGTGAAACCCTAATTTCAAAATCTATGTCATGAATGCAGTGAAGTGAGAGAGGGATGCGTACGTTAAGCAGGGTGAGGAGGCGCAGTTTAGTGGCATGCCGTGGTCGTGGAGAGCGAGTGCCCGGCGAGTGAGTGGGAACGAAACGAGCCGCGAAAATGGAGTCGCATCGCAAGTTCAGGAGCTCAGCACACGACTCGATTTGCTAATGTAAAGTGGGACCCGCTGAAGGGATCTTATATAGGAATTGGGGTCACTGCTTGACTTTGGCACAGTCGTGACTGTTGTGCCTATTTTGTGGTGTATTATGAATTTAATTTTATAATCTGAACCGTTCATGTTGTAAAGTTTGTTGAGTACTTTATATTTACCAAAAATCATATTAATCGTATACCAATAACTATATGATTGATAATCAAAAATATAAATAAGAAGTTTTTCTTTTAAAAAATAGTATAAAAATATGCAATTCGATCATATAGTTATTAATATCTGATTAATATGATTTTTGGTAAGTTTGAAGTACTTAACAAATCCTACAAAATGAACGATTCAGATCATAAAAATAAGTCCATAATACATTTCAAAATGAGGCACAACAGTCACTGTTGTGCCAAAAGTGACCCCAAGTCCTCTTATATATATCGGTCGTGTTTGGTACAGTTGTTAAAATATATTATAAATTATAACTTAACAGGTTATAGATTATAATTTTAATCAAAAAATTTTAATCTAATTGGTATAATTATTGGATTATAGATTTAAATTTTTGAGGAATATTTGTTAAATAAGTAATTTTTTTAATTATTTTTAATTTTTTATTATTTACTATTTATCTACATTTCTTATAAAAAATAATAATAATATTTTATAATCTATTTGGGTCTTTTTTTATTTTTAAAAAAATAAAAAAATCTAAGAGTATAACCGTAAATTAATATGTCCACAGTAGAAGTTGATAATCAGATGCACGGGGTGAGCAGCTTCTCAGAATTAGCTTGTTTGACTTAAAATAAGTTGTTAGAATAAGAAATTATTTTAAATAAATTTAACCAAATAGTCCAAAATAACTTTTTAAAAGCTAGAAGCCATAAGTTGGTTCAAAAAAATCCCACCAAACACCCCCATTTTAATAATATCTGACATTCTCTAAACTTCCCACTGTAAATTTCTCTGCCCTCCCCTTCTTCAAATTTCTCTACCTTCCATATACTTCTCACTCTCCCAGAGAAATTTCTTTGCCTTTCCACAAAATTACATCTCTTAACAAATTTTAAATTTCTATGCCCTCCTTGCTTCTCCTAGACTCAACACTCCAGAGAAATTTGAAAATTTCTCTGACTTCACCGGCCTTCAATTGGTCAAAATGAATCCAAAGAAATTTGAAAACCCAGAGAAAATTGGTTAAAATAAACCTAAAGAAATTTGAATTTTCTCTGGGTTTGAGTGAAGAAGCTATAAAGATTTGAAATAAAAAAGTGAAGCAATTGTAGGGGAATTTGAAATGTAAAGGTTGTGACAAAGTGTTATAGGCATTTATGTAATAGAATAGTTAGAACAGATGTAGTATACGTATGTTATGCATTTCATGGCTGTTTTGGTGAGATTGAGATTACTTAGTAGTAGTGGATATTTGATAGCTGATGTGAATGTGATTTGAGTTTTTCACAGATTGTGGGCTTCATTAGAATCTAATGGTCCAGTGCTATCGAGCCGTTGACATGATCAGGTCTTTCCTTCTCTCTATAGGAATTTCCCTTCTTTGGCATTCCCTCCAGAGAAATTTCTAGCCTTCTCCAACCTTCCCTAGACTTCCCACAAAATTACCTCTTCAAAGAAATTTTGAAAATTCTCTAGCCTTCCCTGGACTTCCCACAAACCTCGTGATGTGAAACAATATCAAACAAAACACAAATCAGTTTCCATATCTTAATCGCAACAAATTGAAGTAAATCCTTAATTACAGACCTCTCAATTCCATGCACACAGTGATTTCAGAGATCCAATCACACAAAACAAACACAAAATCAAAGGTTGTGAAACATCGATTAAGGAGAAAGGTAAATATGCTCCTCCGATCACTGACCTTAACGCCCTACTCGATGAGTTCTTGTTGGCTATCATGATTTCGCCAATCTCCGCCACGCTTAGCGTCGCTCTGTCCTGAAACATCTCTTCAACTTGTAGAAATAACTTGTGATTCTTGAGCCCTAAATAGTTATTCGCTAAGCTCTTGAAGGAATTAAAATCACAGAGGGGAAGAAGAAACACGAAAAGGAGGGAGATAGAGAGAGAGACCTGATCTTCAACTCTTACTTTGGACTGTTGTGATACCGAAGATCTCTGCTCCACAAAATGGCATTGTTTGGGTATTGGAGCGTTCTGAATCTCTGTAGCATATCATCAGACATCTCTGATCGACCATGAAAGCATCTCTCTTTCTCTCTTCGTTCCAAACTCTGGTTTTGATCACTTTTAATCAAATACGGACTTAAACATGCAAATCATCATCATCATCGAGTGTTTTCGAGCCTCTTTCTCGTTAATCTGAGAGAAATCTCAGATTTGTAGTGTTACAGATCTTGCATTTCAAAGCTACTCTGTGAAGAAGACACTGAATATACTTATAATTCCAGTCTCTATGCATTTGATATAATGGTGAACAGTAAATCACAGAGGTCAAGTTAGTGAATCGGAGAGAGGGAAGAAGAAATTGTTGCGTACGAAAGAGGAAGAGGGAGTGAATTTTCTCTGTGATATATGTGTGTAGGGTTAAGGAACCTTAGACATCACAAAATAATATTGTGGATCTCTTCCATCACAAAAAATGAGAGAGAGACCTTAGACTAATTTTTCCTATATTTTATAGGCTGTTCACATAGACCTAGAATCGGCTTAGCCGACCGACCCAGGTATTACGTTGTTTGGGATGTGTTATATAAGTGTACTTTTTAAATTTTTTAGTTAAAAAAGTAGAGAAAAAATGAATGTTTAAAATAATTTTTTGATTTTTTACGAAAAGATATGTAATAAAATATTGTAATAAAATCAAAATAATCATTCTACCCTTACTAACTTTTTGACTTTTGAGTAGTTGAGTTCAAAGGACAAAATAATAATTTTGCCCTATAGGCTTCCCCTACAAACTTTCCACAAATAGTATGAACTTTTTAACTTTTTTAGTAATTCTTTGACTTTTTGACTTTTGTATGTTATCCCAAACAAAGCATTAAGAGTTTAGTAGATTTGCAGTTAAGAATAGATTTAAGAGATATACAAAATTTCGTTGGGGTTGCTTAACAACTCTGTTGGTCCCAAGCCCCCCCAATAAAGAAAGAGGGTTATGTGTTAGGTAGCTAATAGCCAACACGTAAAAAAGTCGTTCGGATCTTTTATGACGTGAAACCTAATATTCTGAATCGATTAAATACTAGGTCGTTCCCCTTAAGTGACGCGTTGCACCTGCCTCCAAGTGTTTCGAAAAGTGAGTAAGGGGCACTGCATCGATGCCTAGGTGCGGTGAAAAATAGGTAAAGGTTTTCATATTTTTTTGGACGAACGTGAATAAAAAAGCTAGTCCAAGATCATAGGTTTAGAATAACCACGTGAAATATAGGAACTTTAATTGGTAAGACTATAAAATTGGTAGATGTCATGATAAGGAAAAAAGTTAGTATAACTTGCATACAAGAAATTAAGTGGATGGGTGAGAAAGCTCGAGAAATAGAGGATATCGGTTTTAAGCTATATTATAGTGGTAAGGATAGACATAAGAATGAGGTAGGAATAATAGTTGCCAAGAGTCTTGTAGAAAATATAGTTACGGTCATTAGGAAATGTGATAGGATTATGTTAGTTGAACTAATTATTGGAGAGAATATAGTGAACGTTATTAGTGCATATGCCCCCCAAATAAGATTAGATGATCAAACTAATAGAGTTTTTTAGGACCAAATAGATAAGGTATTACAGAAGATATCCATATGAGAGAACCTAGTTATAGATGATGATTTCAAAGTCCATGTAGGAGTAAATAAACTAGGGTATAAGAAGGTGCATTGTGAGTATGATTTTGGTGATAAAATGAGGCTAAAGAGAGTATTTTACATTTTGCGTTGGCTTCTGACCTAGTGATGGCCAATACTATGCATAAAAAGAGAGATGAGCATTTGATAACCTTCATTAGCGGGTCAATTAGAAGCCAAATAGATTACTTTCTAGTAAGAAAAGAGGACCGTCTAAAATGTAGCGATTGCAAGGTGATTCCTAGAGTGAGCCTGACGTTTCAACATAAGATTTTGGTATTAGATTTATACTGTAAAGGGCAATACCAAACTCGAAAAGATAGTGAGCGTCGCAGAACTAGATGGTAGGACTTAAAAGGGGATAAACTAGACACATTTAATAATAGAATGATTAAAGAAGGTACTTCGGACTTGGAAAATAATACAAACACTAGTGGAACTCGATGACCAATTGTGTAAGGAAAATCTCAAGGGAAGTTCTTGGAAAGTCGAAAGGAAAAGGACCCAACTTTAAGAAAACTTAGTGGTGGAGTGAGGAGGTCCAAGCAGTAATAAAGATAAAAAAAGAGAACTTTAAAAAATAACAGAATGATAGAACTGAGGAAACCCTTAAGCGTTACAAATTAGCCAATAAGAAGGTTAAAAAAGTAGTGAGGGAAGCCTATGATGACTTATACACTAGACTAGATAATAAGGAGGGAGAGAAGAGGATATACAAACTTGCTAAGATAATAAAGGGGAAAACAATAAATTTTAATCAGGTTAAGTGCATCAAGGGTAAGGACTCTAAGGTATTGGTGAAGGATGAAAAGATTAAGGAGAGATGGAAGAACTAATTTGAGAAGTTGTTAAATGAGAAATATAAAGGTAGGTCAAAAAGGGAGGAAATAGGTAGTAATAAGGAAAATCAGGACTATAGGTTCTATCGTAGGATTAGAGACTTTGAAGTAGAGTTTGCACTTAAAAAGATAAAATTGAATAAGGCTTTAGGACCAGATGATATACCTATTGAAGCGTGGAAATGTTTGGGTAAGAAGGGGGTTATTTGGTTGACTAGGTTATTTGGTAAGATTTTGTTGACTAGGAAAATATTAGAAGAGTGGAGGAAAAGTATTTTAGTGCTAATATTTAAAAATAAATGAGGTGTTCAAAATTGTAACAACTAAAGAGCAATCAAGT